GTAGTCAGTTGGCACCAGATCTGGGCTATACGGAGGGTGAGGCAGAACCTCCCAGCCCAGATCCAGCAGTTTCTGCCGTGTGATCTTCATGACATGCGGCCTTGCGTTGTCGTGCTGGAATCGAACATGACGGTGCCCTGGCCTCACCGTGCAGAGTTTGTCGGCGAGCTTCTGCAGTTGATCGCAGTAGTAGGCAGCGGTGATGCTGGTATTGGGTGGGAGCAGCTCGAAGTAGATCACACCTTGCACGTCTCACCAAATCCACATAACTTTTCGGGGTGCAGGTCACCTTTCGGCTCCGGCTCTGGCTGGGCATCAGCATCGACCCACTGGCGCCTGCGTCGGTAGTTGACGTACAGCATCCACTTTTCGTCTCCAGTGACTACAGAATCTAGCCAGTCGTTTATGCGCTTGTACAACAGCAGTGAATTGCACACCTCAGCACAGCATTCGCGGTCGGTCGGATCATGGGGTACCCACTGACCCAACTTGCTCTTGCCAATTGCAGCCAGGTGCGTCACGATTGTGGACTGGGCACAGCCAAGTACTGTCGCTAAGTCGCGGGTACTTTGCCTCAGATCGGCTTCCACTGTGTGCTGCAACTGCTCGTCGTCGATTTCAGATGGGCGGCCTGACCTGGGCTCATCCTCGAGGCTGTAATTTCCAGACTGGAAACGATTGAACCATCGTCACGCTGTCCTTTCATAAACTGCACCTTGGCCAAATGCAGTACAGATGCGGCGACTCGATTCAGCTGCTGTGATGCCAGATAGGAAGTCGTAAAGAAGGCACTGACGTTGGGCAGTCTTGTTAAAGTCGATTTTGGAAGTCATGGTTATAGGCTTTGAGCGACTAGGCAACTGCCGTGTAATCACGCCCACACACCCTTTATATACTGCTACTGTGGAAGGTTCAAGAAAGTTCAGACATTTTTTTTCTGGAAAATTCTCGAAACGGCCAGAACTTTCCGATCGACCCAATATTTTAATTATTCATTATATTATAAATGATTTTGTTATTATTATGTAATAATTAATTTATTATGATGAAGGAGAACAGTTTGAACATTTGCTGAAGTAAATTTTAACCCAATGTCCTGACTTTTGGCCCACCTTGTGTATAAACGAATGATTATGAATCAACCACTTCTGGTGGCTTTCTTCTGCTTTTGTCAATTCTGGGGGTCTTTCTTCCAAGTGGCTTTTTCTGAACTATGGATTGAGGAGAGGAGCCAATCCTGATCCTAGCCACCCCTTGGTAAAAGGAGTGAAAGTGGATAGGAGGGAGATACCATAAAAAATATAGCATAACCCCAATGCAGTGGTGGATGTGGGGTGGGGGGTGACTGCCAGGTTATTTCCTTTTTTTTCTTTTTTATAGCTTCTACAATAATTTTTGCTGGGACCAGTGAAGTAGGTATTGAACTTTTTACCCCATAAGAGACATGAAAAAGGTGATACGGCGGGGAGTGGTGGAAGGCCGGGGGAGAGGAGGGGGTTGGTAGGAACTAGGAAACTGCCCCCCATGAAAAATTTCTCTACCTGCCCCTGCCCCTGCCCCTGAGCAATTGTTACTTGAGAATTTACACGATGCAGCCAGAGTGTGTAATCATCTCATCCTTCAGCCCAGTTGCAATCAACAGAATTTTTGCATGGCATTGTACATACTATCTACTTTAAAGAAATGTGCTGAAGGTGGGTTTGTTTTATTTTTTAAAATAAATTTTAGTGCAGTTGATCAAATGGCATGACATCAATATCACTCCAGGATAAACTGTTTCTCGTCTCGTAGTTGCAGAATGGGGTCTTATTTTCTAATGTATTTCATCTTTCCGACTGTGCATATTGCAATTGCAGTTCTGTTTCTTACACTCATATGTGTGATATGAACAAGCTCTGCAAGTGCTCCATTTGGAAAAGTAAAGAAATTTACTCATGTGTAGGACTGCATACCTTCGATCAAAAGTGTCACCTAGTTTTACTTTTCTGCATCAAAAGTACTGAAGGTGTGGTGCAGCTCAAGTTTAAATACTAAGTGCAAAGACAATGTGGTGTTAAGGAAAGGGAGATAGTGTATGATTCAGTTGAACATGTTCTTTGATATCTGACTTACACACTTGTGATACGAAACATGTGACATCTGTTTTACCTGCATGAAACTAATTCAGGGGATTTTCTATGCTACTCCAGTTTGGTGCTGTTCCGTTCAGTGTTGTTCCAGTCAGCGTTATTCCAGTTGCTCTTATTCAGATTCAGTGTTCTTCCTGTTGATGCAGTTCCCATTGGTGCAGTTTCTGTTGACATTATTCCATTTTAGCTCTTTTCCAATTTTGTGCATTAGACTTCTTTCCTGTTTGCATCTTTTCTATTTGTTTCTTTGCATCATTTATTGTTCTGGGATTTTTTTCTTCAGCGTTGTTCCAGTCGACACTATTCCATCCAGCATTGTTCCTGTCGACGTTATTCTGACACTGCAAACTTGTAGACAGTTCCGTTTCGGCGCTATTCCATTTGTGCGAATTCTGCCTCCCTGTCCATTTCTGCATCAAATATCACTACTGTACCAGAGGTGCATGTCATACAGTACTGCTCATGGGATAGCCATAAGAGTGAAAATAATCCAATAGAAAACTACAATGTAGAACATACGCATACACCACTCAGGTGACATCTTCGAGGTACAACACAAGACATGCCTTCCACACCTGATAATTCATGAGTGAAAGTTTCAGGGATAACCGACAATGTCCCAAGGTGAAAGAAGAAACTGATTAAGACTGATAGAGAATGATGACAACGAAGAGAAGCCCTTTTCTGCCATGACTCAGAACGCGAGTGTCAGCTTTGATATGCTGGTATGATGGGTGGCCCCTCAGGCTAACAATATAAACTGTTACAAACCAGTATGATCAGAAAGTTTCTTTCCATTATATTGTTCCTTCTCCCTCATTCATAACATTCCGTTCCAGTTGAAATCAAAAGTTCAACTCAAGTTTACTGTTCTGTTCCGTTCCGTTCCAGCTCCAACGCCCAGGTATCAACAAGATACACTACCAGTACAAGGCAACTGGTGACAGGGCCTGTGTGTCTGGCCCATATCCAGATCTATCTGATGTGATTTTAGTGCAATCATGGTATTTTATTGCACATTGTTTAGAAGGCTAAGTGCTAGCATTGCATAAGTTAGGGCTATGCATTTGCCTCTCTCAATTGTCATTATTTGCAGCACCTGTCCTTTCCTTCCATGACAGCCAGTTGTGAGTAGAAGTGGATCTCTATATCCAACACCTGGCCAAGTGGATCCAACCTCTGTTGTGTTGCCTCCCTGACAGCAGTTCCTAAGCAGTTACCACAAGGCAGGGGTGATGAAATGCAATGGTATGATAGAGGACTACATTTCTAGCGTATTGCATTAGCAAGTTTGTTTGAAGCCTCTTATAAATGGCATCCTTTGCCAACATTTGTTGCTCAGCCATTTATTATCTAATTAGAAATACAGAATGAAAAGCAAAACGTATGTTAATATCTCTTTTGTTTTGATATGAATGTGATGTACTTTCATTCACTCAGCATATTGTAGAAGTGTCACAGTTTATGTTCAGTGTCATCAAAGAACAGATTATGATGACTTAATTTAAATAATTCTCCTACCTTTGTCACATGTATATAGTGTATTCAACAAGGGCTTGTATCATACTCTCAATGAATCTCGTAATTCTGCTGTAAAAGTGAGTTTATTTTGAAGATATTTGTATGCTTATCACAGTCGAAGGTTTTCAATTTGCCATCTTGTGTCCTATACTTTTCATACCTCCTATCCTTTCTTTCAAACAATTGGTGATAAACTAAATAGAAAGTTGTGTATGTTTAAAATCTTGTGTGGGTACTCATGATTGCTGAAGGCATATTCACAGATCTCCCTATGCTAAGAATTACACAGGAAAGCTGAAGCGAGACGAGTTTTTAAAACAATTAGTCTACTCGAATTGTTGGTTATCCCAACAATGAAACATACTCCATCGATTGGGCTTCCTTGTGTATATATATATATATATAGTAATGGACCTAATATTAAAGAAAGATATTGGCTAAATAGGCAGTTACCTGGCTGGGCAGTAAACTGCCCCCAACCAAGGTGTACAGATTGAATAAGAGAAGTTATTTGGTGCCGAAATTGTTTGAAACTACCCAAGGGCAACAGAAAATGCCCAACCTTTTGTGGGGCAAGAAGCACAGGACTTAATGAAGCAAGAGCTCAAGCCTATGAAGGAAAAGCGAAAAAAGGGGGGAGGGCTAGGCTTAAAACAAGACTATCAAAGAAAAGTGTAGCCTGGGAAAGGCACTACCAAGTATTCAGCTAATTGTGTCCTGTACTGACAGATTCATTTGTGCACTGACAGATTGGAAGCCCCTGGAGTGCCTATTCCATGCTAACTAGCCTCGGCAGTAAATCATCCTTCTGTATCTCGCCCACCTCCTTCCTGATCCCTCTTACCTCCTCCTCCACGCTAATGAGCCTTCCTATAGCTCCCCTAGTCGCTCCTCCAAGATACGAACTCTGCATACCTGGCATACCTCTCATTCACTAGTCCCACCCACCCAATCCCCGCACCGAACGAATCTACATATCCTAGGCATCTTACTTACCCCCCCCCCCCAAGTTTGGTTCAAGCCCCGCCAACTCTGATCAAAATGCAGCACACCCCATCTCCCACCCCCTCCCCACCGTTCCACTTAGCCCCCCTATTGTGAAATCCTGGCTAAGCCACTGACGTCATGCAGAAAACATAAAAACCTAGGAAAATTTTTAGCCACACTTCCCGCGCGGAATACCTTCACGTGATAGGCTCTTCCAAAAAGGGCCCTCCACTGCACTGCGTCTCCTGTCACGAGTCGAGTTTCAAGTAATGAAAGTCTTTCTAGTCAGCAGAGCCTTGAAGGGGGGCCCGTTAAGGTCTTTATTTACGGCACGCTTGGGATTAAAAGAAATATATATATTTCCCACTCGTCCAGTCCAGCATGATTCCTTATCATTTTCCTATCAACGCAATAATAAAGGACTGAGATCCCCCTACACAAATGCACGAAAGACCTCCCCTCCATCTTTAGAACCCAGCAAAAGACGATTAGAACCGATTGCTACGGTTTTTTTCTTCAAACATCGACCAAGCAAACGGCTTCTGTACCGTTAGGTTAATGAGCAAGATGCTTAAATTTTATAAGAAAACATTTTCTGCTCTCTCCACTTTTGATTCACGCCAAAACATTTTCAAGTAAATGAACGAGCAAAGAATACCAGGTAATTTTCTCCGAGCTATGCGCGCTCTTCAAAAATTCCCCTAGAGAAAGAAATCGGAGAAGAGTTAATCCTGTCGGGACTCAAGAGTCCTGCGTTTTTTCTGCATATTTCGTAAAGCTATATTGAAATGAACGATCTTGAACCCTGGTGGGACTCTGGTGCGCCTCTGACGTTTCTTGGAATTTGCATTTTTGTGATCAATTGCGTTTCGTTGCAGACGGTTGATGATGAAAATTTGTTCATACATATGGGCATCTTCCATCCACACAAAGGTTAAGATATAAAAATAATAATAATTTCGAATGTCATAAGTTACAGTATCAAATGCATCAAATTGAAAGAAAAAAATTTCCTGTGATTCACCCAGAAGTGAAACGTTTTTCTCTACAGCTGCACATCTCGATTGGAATACAAGAGCAAGAAAGAGAAATCAACATGTACCTATTGGGTTACCGCCAAGGATATGAGAACGCTCTTGCGAACAGACATATGGAGGATCCAGAACGTTGAGGACACGTCGGAAGACACGTCGATGAAGAACACAATAAAGAATTCTTCAACCAGATCTACATGGTCTATTCCTTTTCCTGCAGTTGAAGTTTCATTCATGGATACCTAGCATACCGATATTCAAAGTTCGAAGGTTCAGGAGCTTTGAATGCTAATGACACGAGCATTTTGAACGCCATGGTAGTTCCCACTCCTCAACTTCCCTCAGTTGGAGCTATGACTTCTCATGAGCTTTACGCTTTCAAACATCGTCCTCCTGCTCCTCTAACTCTTCAATTTTCCTTTTTCACTCATCTGCATTCACCTTAATACAGAGTTGGGTAAAAATGAGGGAACATAGGAATCTTGGGGGGATCCTTTGCCCCCCCCCCCCCTTATTCCGGCCCTGCCCATACCTATTTTCAGGCAAAAAAAGGGTGCGATTTTGGGAAGAGAAGGGGCTATTTTGAATTATGAGGTGGGTGGGGTTGAAGTCTTGCACAGGCTTTCAGGTGTTCATCTAGGTTTCAGCTTCATCTTCATTTTCATCATCTTCATCTTCTTAGCTTGCTCTCTGTAACATTGAAAGAGATGACTCTGATTTTGAATCCACTCCACAGGAATGAATAGATCAGATCACCTTCCTCACTTAAGAGAATGATTCCCATATGACTTCTACTCAAAAAAGAACAAGGTTTGTTCACCAAAATATTAAAACTTACTTTGTCCACTTTGCAGGTGCATTCCTTAGGCAAGTTTTGATGTCTCCCTGAACTTTGTGTTCTGTTGCATCTTTGAAAGCTTGCATGACTGCTTCTGAAAAAACATCAGCAGTTGGAAGTTATAGTTCACAATCCATTGTTGAAAGAAAACGAAAATCCATATTTCAGATGACAGAGGAAAGGAAACTCAAGAAAAAGTAAAAGCAATGAATGCATGTCCTACATGTCAGCCCAATCAAAGGTATAATTTTTACTCCCTTTAAGGAGTGCTAGTCAACCCAAATTTATTTAGGAGAGTTACAGGAGATAACATACCAAAAACCACATGGCACATCTTCACTTTTTTTAACGCAATCTTTGTTCTGGCTCCTTCAAAACTGAAGTATGAAGGAGACCACTTGTGAAGCACATTTGCATCAACTGTCGTGTCATTTCATGCAAATTCGAGCCACCCAAGCAAGCAAGGTCATTGACTAGGATAGTATATACTACAGGGTGAGTCAAAAGTCTGAACACATAGGGAACTGAGCTCATATGTGTTTATTGCATGAAATGCTACAATATGTATTCTACAGTGCAGTGAACCGTCACAATTACCGCTATTGGAGTGATACCAACTCGCACTGGAAGAACACATATTGTAACATTTCATGCAATAAACACATATTGAGCTCAGTTTCTTATTTTTCCAGACTTTTGACTCACCTTGTATAATTTACTCATTATTAAAAATCTTTTCTTTCCAGGTCTTTGGTAATGCAATTGTGCACAATATATTTTCGTTTTTCAGACTAATGCAAGGAACTTTCAGATATTTCAGAAAGGAAACAAAATTCAAGAGACCACCTGGTAATAACCTACCAAGGCATTAACATTGGCAGGGTGACTTAAAAAGTCTTCCATTATTTCCAGTGAGCTGAGAGTATCCAAAGGGAACTGAACAGGCAATTGAAGCTCATTGCAAGGTGGTATCATCTTCTTCACACTCAGTTGTACATTAGCTAGTGCTGTCCCTTGAACAGCAACGTTTTTATTGATATCTTGGACAACATATAGGAGTTTCTTCAGGAGGCCTAGGAGTGATAAAGAAAAGCAAAATTCTAAGATAGAAAATTTCAGAACTTCCATATCTATCACATAAGTTGTTCTCATATGGGGAGCCAAGTCGGGATAAAAATGTCTTATTCATTTTACCAGTTAATGAGGGCATATGGATGAGGTGTCTTACCATTATATATTGTGGTTAAGGCACCTTAAACTCTCTAGATAAATAGAAAAGCTTAATCGGCACAAGTCTCTTTATACCCTTCCAGGTTCATTCTAGCAATGCAGCAAAGACACTTCATCCAAAAAATTGTAATATAGGTGGCATTAGTATACACACTCAGCACCATAATCTCTGCTATACCCTCACTAATGCCATCTCTCCCTTAAAATTTGTGATTGAACCATACACAAGAAACCAAATATATTCTAAATCATTCATGGAAACAACTGTAACAATAAAAAAAATGTCTCAATACCTCACCTGGAATATCTTGGGATTGCTCGATTGGTTTCAATGGAGATGAGGAAGATGACTGGGAGATATTTTGTTGCCTTGATCTTTCTGCATCACCACCATTAGCAGCTGAAGCTCCAGGTGTAGAATAAGGCATCATGGAACATACATACCCTGAAGACACAAAAGTAAGAAAAGTAATATATTGGTAATAAAACTAAACTTCTGACAAAACAGCTCATTTGAGAGCATCTAGCAAGAAAGTGTTGAATTCACCTGAAGAAACTTGCTTGGATGCATATTCTCCACTCCATGGACTTCTTGATAAACCAGCTGCCTTCTCCCCTAGTATGAATAATGATAATGAAATCCCTCAATTCCTTATTCAGAGTTGTCACACCCAATCAGGCATGCTTTGGAGTGGATAAAATATAAATTACTTCATGCAAGATCACTTGCCATACAAAGCATCACTAGAGGTGAGGACATGCTGGGATAAGATGCTTCCTCCACCAAACAGAGCATGTTCTTGACTGACTGGGTAAAATGCCTTCCTCAGAGGTGTTGGAGGTGATGGTAAATTAATTTTTGAAAACTTTGTGCCTGTTGCCTCTCCTTTCTTGTTCCAGTTTTTCTTTCTGGTGCTGTCGGATGAAGGTGAGGAAAGTTCTGCTTCACTCTCACTCTCATATTTCCTTGGCTTCCTTGCTCTTTGAGGGCTCTCCTACATCACTGACCTCACTTGCTAAGTCTGATGCTTTAGCAGCCCTGTCAAGGTTTGTTCAAGCTTCATCATACGACTCTGCTAGACAAAAATAAAATTACTTCACTGATGACAAATTTAAAAACTAATTCCATCTCACACCCAACCATATACATTTCTCCAAAGCATCCATCTGCATTTACTGGATGATCTACATGTCACCAAAAATTGTAAAAATGCATGTCTTCTATAGTGTTAGATGTGTATAAAAAAAATTATATTTGCCAAAGTTTTCCTCCAAGATGTAGAAGATTACCTATTTCCACAAAATCATAAAATCCCACTGAATTTCTGAAATTCTCAAGGTTCATCAATTTTTCTGCACTCTGCAACTTAATGTTCTCTACAGTCTCATCCATTCCAAGTTGAAATTATGAGATCACAAATTTAACAATGCTACAAAGTGCAGGGAAAACTGGCTTTACAGTTACTAGATAACTCATCCAGGTAGAATATTCCAGCCTTCTCAAAGTTCATAGTACCATTAACCAACTCTTTACTTTTTTTTACCAGATTATCAAGAAGCACTGGGGGCATGCCAAACAGGTGTACATTTAATTTTTGGGACTAAAAAGTATATACAGCATTGTGCTTACTACCATGGCTGTGGAGTATGGGTTAGCAATCACTTACTATGGGTCACTTGGCATTTATACAGCTCTGGCAGGAGTTATGTTCAAACGAGTGGGAGGAGTTCGAACTCTTTCTTTGTATAGTTCATGTCCCCCCAAAATTATCTTGATGACATCTATAGAGAATTGTGGTAATGGGTATTGATAATATTCCAAATGGAGCATGAATAGTCACCAGATAAAACAAGCTTAGGATAAATTCTGAACAGAGAAGGGTTGGAGTTGCAGACTCCCACTGTCTTTCTGCTCTAGGCTCATGCAATATCTGAACCCTGATTTTCATCAGAATGCGGCATGGCAATTCAACAACACCGAAACTGCTACTGATTGAATGATACCCATGTCTAGGTTTTTATGACATTACAAGGCATTGAGCGCAGCAATGCTCCTTTGACCCTGTCATCACTACTGACATGCCCAAAAGGAGGGTCATTTTGAACACACAAGAAGATATGCATAAAAAGAACACTAAACATATTCAGCTTAAAGAGTATGTAAACATATCCTAAAGGGACTTGCCATATTCCTTGAGTATTTGAACATCATTGAGAAACTTAAAGTGAATTGAATCCTGAAGAAATTTCCCCTTCACCCACTTCATGAGACGAGCTTCATACTTCTTCTTAGGCCAGGCACAGGTCAAAGATCCTTCATCAAACCAAATTTTTGGCACAACTGTCACTGATGGATTTGTGTCATCCTCAAATGATGCCAGAGCAAATTTTTTTTCCTCCATTTTCTTGCAATATGATGCAGCCTAAATGAAGTGTCCCACTTCACCACAATGTCTCAAGGGCAACAAGATGTATGAGTTCCTTTCAGGGAGCAAGACACACTTCCTGGACATAGCTGATAAATGCCAGGCTGATATCTGAGTAGATAAATTGGAGACCTTGAAAACATCTAAAAGAGTAGATTCACATGGAAAATCATAAGCTCTTCTCTTTGCAATGAAGGACTTCCCCAATATATATACTTCATCCCCTTGTCTTATGATATTCTTCAGAACAATGGTACCATCATACAAATTACAAGCATTGTTTCCTGTGGAAGTTTCGAGAAAAAAATCCTGGAGTTCCACTTTTTGGAACTGCTGACCTTCCAATCCTGGGAACAATGGGCCACCCAGGTGATCCATTGACAGCTTAACTTGGCAAGACTTGATTCTGAGTGGAGAAAGCCACTTAGGAGATAGCATGAGTTCTCCAAGTCTTCTTGCAACTTGTTCAAGTGGGGTTTTTTGGTCCACGTACGAGTCTCTTCAATGAATTCATATCCTTCATGCTCAAATCAAGATGAAAAAAAGCTGTACTCTTGAGGGGAAATTCACATGTAGAAAGGAAATGTGATGAGTTGTGACGAAATTTAAGGGAGTGTCACATTAAAAGCTGCATTTTATGGCCCCTTCTCTAATCCAATTAAATTGACGATGGAACTGCCACCTACAGTTCCAGACTAGGCACAGATCTGCCACTCCCATCATTCATTTCCTGGTAGGCCCTACGTATAATACCCGGTCCCGATTGGGAAAGGCGATTGGCCTATTTGTCTAGTTTTCCCCACTTTGCCACAAGCAAAAACGTTTACATTCGTGGCTGCAGAGAGGGAGAGAATGGGAAGGCAGGCCGGGCTTGGACTAAACATGGGGCCTAATTGAGCTGTCGTCACTACTTGATGCTTCGCATCTCTATACCGTGGGTTAGAGCACAATAAGAAAATCAAGCATTGCTCATGTGGCGCCATGATGTACTGTCTGCCACTGTTGCCATAGGCCCAAGTATAGTGGAAGCATTAACAACTATCGAAAATGTATAAATTTTCTCTCTATTCCCAATACATAATGAACTTTTTAAGTTGAGAGATTCCAGTGAAAATTAGGGAACGAATGAACCTCGTAGGAAGTCACTATTAAATACATAATAGATCTCCCAATCTGAGCGAGGTGTTCCCATTTGCCGCCTTGTGTTCCCAGGCGTCCTGCCTTCCGACCCCAAGTGTACCTAAATTTTTCCTTTTCCTAAAGGAAAAATTAATTTTAAAAATTAAATTAAATTCCTATTTTTTTCTCAAACTAGCATTGAATGATAATGCATGGATTACCTTATACCTTATAAGGTCAAGTTTGTGTTGATGTTGATGAGTCAATATTTTTCCTTTGTTTAGCTTCTCCAAGGATGATTTTGCCTTTCCAAAGCCAACTCCAAGTCTTCTCCACAGAAGACTGGAAGCAATAGCAGCCTCACATCAATCATTTCACCCTGTCATCATCAGTAATACAGGAAAAGGAGCACTGTGGCTCTTCTGGTCCTGTAAAAGTGAACTTATGTGATCAGCCCACATCAAGGCAGTCTCTTGCTCCATTATGTTCTGATTATTGCACAGACATTTTAAGATAGTGTCTTCGTAAAATTGTATCCCTTACTTGTGTCACATGTAAATATTGCTGATTTGATATTAAGGGCTTTGTCTCATCTTCTAGTTGAATCCCATTACCCTCCCACTGAAGTGATGTAATTTTTTATAATTGCATGCTTGGAATTTCTCTGAATGTCATTTCTCAATATTCAGTGTCTTATACTTTCCATACCCTTGTTCTTCCTTTCCAACAGTTGGTGAGAAAGGAATAAATGAAGAATCTGACATTAAATTTGAACACTTCCTTTTCAAGTTTTCTATTGGTGATTTACTGCCAGCTATCCAGCATTCAGTCGGTCATTGGTCACTTCATATGAAGTTCCCAAATGTCCCAGAAAACAAAGCAGCATTGTGGGGATGCATGGGGAGAGTCAATTCAGTGTCCTAAGAGCTGAAGATTCAACAGGCAAAGAAGGCAATACAAGGTCATCACATTTTTATGATCATGGGCCTAGCAGTCATGACTACTCAAATGGGAATTCACTATTTCAAAATTTAAATGATAATGAAAAGGAAGTTTTTTTCAATGATTTATAAGTATGAATATTAGAAGGTGGCATTTAGTGGAAAGCATGCTTTCTTTCTCTAGTAGGATGTACTACAGACAAAGGTTCTTCATCTAAGAGCAGGAGCTACCAACTCATTGACTTGCCTTGGATTATATCTATTGTAGTTCAGGCTGAATTCTTCAGTTAATTGTTGGCTACAAAGCACTTGAAAGTATTCTAGCTCTGCAGAGATTACACAGCTTTGAGAATGACTACCTTTCACCAGGATTAAGTGAAAATTCTTGATATTTCCCTTGGCCTCTTGATGTGATGCAATTCATGTAAACCTCTTTGTGCAGCCATTCTTTTTGTGTCATCGGAGTTTTGCAACATGCTCTCAAAGTAACAGTCTCATGTGCAATTATAAAAGAGAAGTTTGTTGGAGTTACCAGTAAAATGCAAAATCCTGATATTTGCACAATATCTGACTCTTGAGGTCTTTGACAACCAAGTGAGAGCAATGAGAACAGACCCCAACAAAACAAACTATTTTCTTGATATAAGGTGTCAGGCATGATTCCAGGTGTGCTGGACTACTCCAATTTGATAATAATTGACTCCCAAGGCCAGTCAAGTGAGAGCCTATCTCCACAGTGCAAAAATAAAGCATTTGGCCTACTCCAACACCATTTCATGTACAGGTTCTTTAAAAATGTGAGAGCCACCCTAATAAGGTCCCAGTCCATTCACGTCCCACACAGCACAGGTATATCCCAAAGATATCCCCTTGGGACAAGTGCGATGTCCCAGAGACAAGGAGTAGGGACATCTTAGGGATATCAAAATGTCTGGGCCCAATGATATATTTCAAGGATGTCCCTTTCTTGAAGAAATAGCATATCCCAGAGATGTCCCAGGGATATCTCCTTGGGGCAAGTGAGAAGTCCCAGGCAGTACTTATAGGGGCCTTCCTGTCCGCAATGGACTAATTTCCTACCGCACAGGAGAACCTTTTGCTTTCGTAGATGTCTCTATTTTATCTAGGATCACCTAATCTAAAGTTCTTGATCGAATGAAGAGTGACGATTACGGCGGAGGAAAATACCGTTTCTAAAGAGGGCCCCATCATAGGAGACACATCTCCAAGGGACGAAAATGAGCAATTTTACACGAGGGGTCACGGTTGATACAATGTCTTGTGCCTTTTAAAACAGTATGGGATTAGGCCTCCAACCAATATAGTTGTGTCCAGACATACCGATCAGACATCATTAATGAGAATATAAAGGAATAAATTAAAATTCGGACCGCAATTTTTTCACTTTCCCTGATAACAGTTTTCCTTATGTATGGTACGAAAATCCTTACTTGTCCTCAGGACAAATCAGGTAGATGAATTCGATAGAAAAGATCTGAGGTTGTAGATCAGGGCTCACGGGAGACATCTACCGTCGAAGCTGTGCACCTGACTGTAGGCGGCAGAGAGCACTGAAGATATCTTCAAGATATCCCCTCCTTGATATCCAGAAGCATTCGACTAAGGACGTCTTAAAGATGTCCCTTTCGGGATATCTCTAATATATCGACTGAAGATGTCTAAAAGACGTCCCGAAGACATCCCTTACGAGATGTCCGAAACCGTCCGAAAGAAGATGTCTTCAGGATATCCTATAAAGACATGGGGACAAGTCGTCCAGTTAGGGACATCCCTGGGATATCTCTGTGCTGTGTGGGGACGGAGGAACAAAGCACCTAGAAAGTACAAAATAAACGCAAATTGTGCTTACGACTTAAACCCTCCCATCTATATTGCAAAGAGGTAGTGCATGATGACATGATCGGCCCTTTAGATTCTTTTGCTCTGCAATTTCACCGAAGCGACCATTCTCGTCAGTGCCTTTTTGCATGTGAATTTGTCTTTCAATGGCACACATGTCTGCGAATGCCATATTAACTGATATAGCAACTACAGCATTCGATGGAGGTAATACCACTCTCTCAACCAATATATTCGCCAGCTTAACAGCTCGGATAAAAGGCAACAGTGAAATGTGTGCATTCCCCTCTACATTGCCTCAATATTTCCTTCCCCTTTGCAAATAATTATGCCTAGACTCCCTCCAGGAATGAGAACTTGTTTAATCTTAGCAAGCTAAGCCTAAATAGCCTAAATTGTACATCGACCATTCTGATGTACGACATAGCTGTTAGGTCTGAGAAGGCAATTCGATGTACACCGTAGGATTGTCTCATCGGGAATGTTGAAGCCTCCTCTCTGAAGCTGATCTCAGGAGCATGCCATTGAAACCTCTTTAAACAGAAAAAGGCCCCATTCATATGATTTGAATAGGAGGTTCTTAAGTTCTAGACCTGCATTCCACTCCTCTCAGTATCTCTATGAACGTCAGGAAGTCAGCATCGAATACGAGCCACGCAGGGCACTGTATCGGGTTTCCTGAAAAAGGGAAAGAGGGAGAGCAGATATGAGGATATGATATGATGGCAACATCGTGAGATGACGTGAAGAAGTTTGTTAGTAATAGTAAACTTTAGTCAAATTCACCCTGAAGAATAATGGACCCAAACGAATTGATCTCAAGCAAGTGTGGGAATGAGTTCGTCTCGTTGTTTTCGCTTTCATTGAACCGTCCGATTCCTGCTTCCTGAGATCCCTCCCGCGCAAGACCTGAAATTGCAATACGGTTTGAATTACTGAAGAAACAGTTCTCTGCTCAACGCTGCCGGGGATAAAACGACTGCGAAGAAAAAAAATGACATACCACAAGACGCAAATCATTCATTGATTAACATCAGGTTTAAAATAATAATGAAAAAAAAACTAATTGGGGAGGGTAAAGACCAATTTACATGGGGATATCGGAAAATAAGTTTTCCATGTCTCTCAAAAGAGAAATATATTTCCAACATATTTTAACGCTGTGTTAATATGATACCCTGTTCCCACTCCACTTTTCTCCATAATCATCACCGACATTTATAAATAGGTCCCATCGGTGAATTATTTTTTCCCAACCCTCTTGAATGAAGTCGGATACCCAAACGCTAATCATCCTACATACATTTGACCATCAGCAAATACACGGCACCATTCCTCCTTACCATTATCCCATTATCATCATACACGGCAACAATCTGACGGTGGATAGCGACGGGTGTATGTATTTTTGCCCACAAAAACCGTAACACACTGTTGACTTCAGTTTGTGTGCGCTTCCAAGAGTGTGGCCATTTTGTCACCGTCACTGCTCATGCTCCCTGCCGCCAGTGTATTGATGGTAGAGCAGGAAGCAGTGTACATATCAGTATATGTACCGTCACACTGGTTCTAACAGTCTTTGTTCTAGAGACATGGAAAACTTATTTTCCAATACCACGAAGTACATTCTTTTTATTTAAATTCAATAGGATTCATTCAGTTTTTTCAGTTGTCTGTTAATACATATTTTCTGTTTCGCTATTCCAAAAAGCATTCGATGACGTACTCAAGATGCGTATCCGAAGCTAATATAACCATGACCCGTCAAGAAGGTTTTCACAGTGGATGGAGAATGACTTGCTTGGTAAGGTTCTGCTTGCATTTCTTCAAGTGCAGCTTGAAAAGTTGAAGCATATTAAAACTCCTTCAATGCCTCTTTGCTGGATCTTATTTCTCTCATCATTTCATGCATTCGTGTTCATTGCTTGGAATATGACATTACCAGGTCCCAGATATGTAAAATGTCATTCTTCCTACCCTACTGCGGTACTACTGTTTAAAGGAAATGCTATATCTATTCATAGCATTACATATCCCGATACTCCTCTCGAATGTTAAAGATTGATAGTAAAATAGAACAGCTCCAAGCGCAACCTCCTCACCAGTGTCGGGGTCTTCTTTGAACGCATTGTTGTTCTCATATTGCGGCAGGGAAAGGGTCTCAAGCATGGGACGGAAGGATTCTTCCGTCATTTCCGTGATGCTGTTTTCTCTTAGATCGACCGTTGTCTCACTCGTGAGACCTGAAATTGCAAAAGCGTTTGCATTGCTGAACAACCGGTTTTCTGTTATACTCTGCTGCGGAGGAAAATACCAGGAACAAAAAACTCCATGGCATACGGAGCAAATTATCCTCGAAAGCCCAAATTATTATGAAAAAGACTACTATTGGAGATTGAAAGTCATATTGCTTTAATATCCCATTAAATTCTTTCAACTTAAGTTACATTTATGTAATATAATTTGTATTGGCATACTTTAGAATTTTATTTGCTACTTCGTCATCGCATGAAAATAATCGATCCCATACTATGCGATCTGAAGTTGATGTGAATATTCCGTGCCCCGAAGGCACTCAAAGGGGACGTATGGTGACTTTGCAGTTAAGGTGCTGAATACATTTCTATAGGAGCTGGTTTAATGATGCACCTGAAATGGTCTTCTTCTCTGAGACTTCTCAACGTTTCCTAAATTATTCTTTCCATCCAATCCATCGTTTCAGGATTTTTTGAGAAACAGATCAAGCTTTTCCTTCAGAACTTGTGAATCTAATAATTTTCTGAGGTTCCGGTTGTTCCCTGAAGCATTGAACCCAACTTCAATGCTGCAGGGAACTGAAGTTAATCTCTCGGACAGCAGTCAGATTAATCTCGAGAATAACATCAATAGGCTTCAAGATCTCATCACCTATGCACACAATGTCCCCATGACTTCCAAGGGAGGAATAATAATTTACTGTTATTCTTCAGGCTTTAATTTCCCGACTCTGAAAGACTTATTCAATTGACGAACTGCCAGGTAGAAATCAGTTTAGTCATACAATGATGATTGCCGTTGTTCCCAAACAAGTGTGACTCTGCACAAAACATGGTTTTGCTCTCGTTTGAGTCATCAACAGGCCCCATTAGCACTTCCTATTTTCGTCACACTATTCCGATGCGATTGCTTCGGGAGATGGGAGTTATTTGCATTGCAGCAAAGCCCTAGAATCACATTATATTGGCATGTTATTGTTTCCTTTGAATAGTTCACCTCACTATTGGATATATCGTGTGTCCTGACATCAAAGAATCCTCTTCATCTGCTCCTGGGACTTCAAACTTAAAAGAATTATGCTAAGAATGATGTAAATTCTTGAGTCAGATTCCTAAGGGAGACAAAGAAACATTAAAGAATCTTCTCAAATACTGTAATGTGAGAGGTGAACGATTCCTGTCGTTTTTTTAGTGCATGCCTCATTCTGGTTATCTAGGTCAAATTGAACTAGCGAAGCTATTTTTATATAATGGAGACGAAAACTCACTGAGAAAGGGCAGGATTAAAGCGCAGTTCATCAAATGCATTCAATCTCAAATTCCCTCTTTTCATTTTTAAAATGTAAGGAAATTATTCAGGTGAATCCATTATTCGAGTGCGACCGATTTATTTACTAGATTTGCTAACTTAAATTGTCATGCAGCAAACACCAACTGTATTGGAACATGATTTCCCAGTCTTCATTCTTTGTTAGACGTCATATAGCACTTCAATTCCTTCTCAAAGTTCAACATACAAATTTCAATCTCTACTTCTCTTCGCCGTATTCATCAGTTATGATATGTGATATTAATAGCATTATACGTGGAGCTAATTTAAAATCAAATTTGAAAGCCGAGTCAGCAGGGTGTCGACAATTAACCTGTAATGGCTCCTGGTTCCAGTCTCACGATGCCATTGAATCCAACGGACACATTAGACAAGACATCACTGCGGAACGTCAAGGATCCCTTGGGCAATGTAGGTCCCAGACTGCAATGAGATGCCTCAAATGACACCAAATTCCTGAAGCCCTTGAGAAGTCCACGAGGAATCTCCGAAATAGGATTGTAGCCTGCAATGGAAAATGTAAGTGCGCTTACGCTTTCCTAGTCATCAAGCAATTCGAATTTTTCGAATTTCGAATTTTAAAAGCATCCATCGTGGCCCACTTCATTTACTTTATTGAGGGGATCTTACAAACAAGGGAAAATGTTCCAACTTCTTAAGAAATTCATTGTACAATTTCTTTCGTCGAGGTATCAACTCTCCGTGACATTAAAGAGAAATTCGGATATCTTGTGTGAATTTGACGTGAACTTTGTGCCACGGGACTGTGCAGGGATAACTAGGGAAAGAAAGTGTATGACAGTTCCAAGTCCCATCACATATTCATGAATTCTCTATAATCGAACTCACTGATGTCAAGACTTTCTAAAGTGGGTGTGGACCAGCTGGGCTTCAGTGCATCTATTTTATTGTTCGAAATAATCAGATTCTTCAGACTTGGACTTTCCAGGGCTGGCACTGACTTCAAGGAAATTTCATCCAGGTTGAGTTCACTTAGAAGAGTCATCTGAGGAAGGATGTGGAATGGAAACTCTCCAAGGGGACTCTTTCCAATTGTCAACATCTCCAATCGATCTTTGGATGAAAGCAGCATCGATGTATCCATTTCGGCCAGGCTGGTATCCCAAATGCGTATTTCATCGAAGGTCATATTCCCAAAGACATCCTCAAGAAGATCCTCCACAGCGAAATTGCTTTCAATGAGGAATGTTCTGCGTCGACCATAGTTCCTTGGGAAAAAATGAGAGAAAGCCTTTCATGGACAAGTAACGAGGCAGTATACAACGGAGAGACACTCAACTACTTCAACGCCCGTACCACTTCTTTTTTCGCCGGATTTTATTCTCATGTTTTAGGGGTTGATTTTCAAATTTCTTTATTTCTGGGGTATTTCAAGTCTCTGGCAATGGGAAAATGTAGGACTCCATATTCTGGGACCGCATATTTAAATGACTGTATCTTCGGATTTCGTTTGCTATTTTCAGACAGTTTTCACTCATAGACAAAAGGAATGAACTGGAGTTTGCGATAACAGAAGTTCGTGGTCATCCATAAGTTCGTTTGAAAGGTACAGGAATGATTTAAATGGCTCGTAAATATTTGCATCGGTCCAGCAGGCTACGCCCAAATTAAAACTTCCTCAAGTGTTTACCAGATGAATTAACAAGAGAATGAAATGAATAAACATTTAATTTAACAAGAGAATGAAATGTGACTGCCGTTTCAAGCTCACTTGTAGGAACGAAACTAGTAATACAGAATGATAATAGAATGCGACAGTTTCCACAGTTAAAGTCCGATCTTAGTCGATCTTTGATTCAGTCATCCTTCTTAGGAGAAAAACCTAACCAAAACCATTCACGTAGGTCTTTTAACTCTTGATTCGTTTTCTTTAAGAACGTTGGAGAAGGGAGAAACGCTTCTTTAAAAATGGAATTTTTCATACTATCAATACTTCATCGCTTGAATGGATGGAAGACGTCCAAAGGGAACGGAATTTGATTTTCTAAAGAATTTCTTTGGTCATAATATCACAAAAGCCTCAAAGAAAAAGGTCTGCGCCCACGATGCGTCCCTTAGAGGGAGTTTAATTTGTCTCGAAAGTGTTTTTCTTTTTTATCGCCTCGGCCCCCTACTTCGGTTGCAGCCCCCCTACTTCGGACATGAGAAATCTCTCACATGAGCTGAGTGAAGAACCAGGGAACATCATGGAATGCCGAGAAGATCCCAGAGCTATTCGCTTGCGAGCAGTCTAAGGTTACGTCTCTGGTGGTCCCGTGAATCGAGCAGGTGCAGGGTGAAACAGCATCGGAATGTGGACAAGGCATGTTGGAACTGGAGAAAAACTGGAGTTATGAAGTTCCTGAATCAATTCTACAAAGCCACGTCCTTCAACGTAGCTTCGATGGAGTATGGTCTGAAACTTACCACTGATTTTACCGTTAAATAACTTTATAGTAAAAAAGGTTGCGATATAATTGAAGGAATCATTTACCGCATAAACTGATTCATCAGCTAAGAGGTTTTAATGGCTTGTGAGCTCCATCGAGTCGAGAGAATCCACTTTCGAAATGGATTCTCTGGATTCCCCCTGTTTTAAATATCAAATGACACGATATTGTCAACCGTTAAAATAAATTTTACCTCACTCTTGTAACTTCCTCGGTTTTTCCAAAAAACGAATATCAGAAATACTGACTAAGTTTCAGGGAAGACCTTAAATATCCTTTCAAGACCGTTACGAGCACATTAACTGAGAATATATTCATTGAAATATATATATTTATGAGCTTGATATCGACTAATCGTGCACCGCTTTATTCATATAGGCCCGAAGAAAGAAGCCTCATTTGGAAGGATTCTTAGAGGAGGAGGTTGAGAAGTTCCGTACTTGCAATGAATCCCCTTCAGTCTCGGCCAAAATTTCAGACTGAATGCAAGCAGAGAACTGCATTTGATGGAGTTCTCTGCAAAAGACAGAGGGATTAGAAAAAGAACCCGTGGTCTGGAACGAAGAAAACATTGAGACTTGGAAGTATAGCAGATGAGACGGGAACTCACCGGAAAGATATATCCGACCGTTTTCGCCCAGGTCTTCCAGCATGGGCAGGAAAGCGTCTTCCTTCAATTCCGTCATCATATTCTGCTGTAGATGAAGTTTCGTGTCAGCCTTGAGACCTGAAACGGGAATAGGGAATAGAAAATCAAACTTACTGTTGCTACACGCTGTATGGAGCTATTCGGTTATATACGCGGGGACGAGGGGTGTTTAAAAAATTCTGCTAATTTTTTATTCGGCTAATTCTCTTCCTTATTATAGTGCAATTTTTCAAAATAATCCCATTTAATTATACACATTTTTGCCAGCGAGTTGCTAATTTCTTTTAGTCCATCTTCAAAGAACTTTCGTGGAGTACGTTCTATCCACTCATTTATCTCTGCTTTAACTGCTTTCCGAGAGAGACTCAATTTGGATTCCTCAAGGTGGTTTCATTTCCCCAAACAGATGACATTCGCTGGGAGCCAGGTCTGGAGAATACGGCGGATATGGCAGCAATTCCCAGCGCAGATCTGACAAAATGGCCTCTGCAAGGCGAACAGTGTGCGGCCTCGCATAGTCTTACTGGAGTAATGGTCAGGAATGAAGCTTTCCTGGCCGTTTTTTCTTGAGTACCTCATGCAGTGGCCTCATCAGCAAATCATAGTTATTTTGTGAATTTATGGTGGAACCATTTAGTAGATAATCAATCGTGATTATTCCCTGACAATCCCGAAACACCATTATCATAGCATTGCCAACTGATGGCATTGTCCTTGCTTTAAGCAGAGGGCCATCAGGCCGCCATTCCATGGACTGAATTTTTGTTCATGGTAAGGTAAGGTAAGGTATTCATCTATCATCTGTCGTGATGATTCGTTGCCAGAAATGATCCCCATATAGTTCCTGTAGAGCCAACAACTTGGAACAAACCTCCACATGGTTGAGTTTCTGTTCTAGCCCCAACAGCCGTGGTACCGACCGTGCAGAAACCTTGCTCACTCCAAGACGGTCATGTAATATTTCATGAACTTTTCTGGAACTGATGCAAACACTTGCAGCAATCTCACGAATGGTGATTCGTCTGTTTTCCGTTAACATTTTCTCCACAGCGACGACACTTTCTTCGTTAACAGCAGTGTTTGGTCGATCATTCCATTCTTAAAGCGATCAATCCAACGATAGATGGTACTTATAGATTCAGAAGATTCACCAAAAACAGCTTTAAAACGTTGAATAATTCCAGAAGCCCTAATGACTTCTTTCCGTAAAAATGAAATGATAGGTCTTTGAGAATTTACCGCGTCTTCCATGGCTAACAAATTCTATCCTAGGCGAACACTGGCAACTTCTTACGGACGCATGCCCAGTGAATAATATTTTGCAGTCGTATTTTTGACAGGCCTAAACATGTTTGACCAACATTGCGGTAGGCTTTCATCAGGCGTTGCAGTGATAAAAAGAAAATTCCCAGAACTATGTAAACACCCCTCGTACCTTTTCAGGATTGAGGTGAATAATACAGAAATAATACAATGTCAATAATACATTAACGACATTTACCGCTTCTATTGACCATGCTGACACGTTTTCTGTTCAATTTCGCAAAATGTACGCGAGTCAACGCTTTTGAAACGCATTTAAACCCTAAGGGACATTTCGCGTTTTATGATTAAGTTTTATGGGACCCTTTCATCAGTTCCGCCATGTTCACCATGCCCAACATGACAATTTTTTTTTCATAAGGGAGGGTCGCATTTTCGCTCATAGGTCAAACGACGGATGGACACAACGACTGGGACAAATGAAACTACTGCGGTAGGGGAAGCGTGCAACTCACAGATTTCCATTGAATATTTTGGTTTTCAGCGATTTCTCTATGATTATCCATACTGCATTTTTCGTGGAATCACAAGAACAGATGGTCTTTCGTAGATCTATATTATACTGTATGCGGACGAATCGTTGACTAGCAGCTAATATGAATCGCATTTTCAGCGGAAAAACGCTCCGTGACGATTTCGATCAGTGCTTTCGAAAATGGAGCTAAACAAAATGAGATAGCCATTCGCTCTTTGCGAAGCAAGCATTTTCTCCCCAAGAGGGGAAGGTTACCCTTCGCTCTTCCAATTCCAGGGAAAGAAACAATTTTCATGTTTGTGGCTTCTAATATCCTTTTCTTTCGAAAGCAAGTTTTTAAAATAACCTCTTATTTGGTCATTGAAAACAGCTCTTGCCGTATATTGAAATGCTAAACAATGTTGTCTGAAGGAACGAAAACGCTTGAAATAAGCTTCGCCATTTCAAAGGAGGAAACAAATATGATATTAGCAAAACAAGGACCTAATACAGCTGTTCATTTGCTTTTGGAAGAATCAAGATTGCAGGCTTATTACAGACTTAAAAACTCCGTACACAGAGTTCTGTTTATTTTCAAGATACTTTATTTTAGCTTTTGAATTTTTTCATATGCGAATAATGATACATATATGCTTTGATCCGATATTGCCAAAATGGGGCAGAAAAATATAGAAAAATAAAAATAAATGCCCATTACCTTTCTTAAACCCCTTACAGCAACAAAATTAAACCTTCTCGTATTCCTCTCTGAGAGCATCAACAATAAATAAAATTTCCACACTTCTTCCTTTTCAGCAAACAATCCCTCCAGCAAATTTGAAGCTCCATCTCCCCGGGTTTGCGGAGGTCACAGACTCTCGCCTTCGAGAGATGTGAATTTCGTTACGGTATTTTTTTTCCGTTCCAACCACCTGGGTAGCCCCTCCTGGGAAGTTTCTGGAGAAAGTAAACTCCCAAATAAAGATATTGTCCTGAAGGCGACAAAAAGTCCCCCTTTTTTGCTTTCAGTGTACCATTTCGGCATGAAAAATGACATTAGAAGCCGCTAATTTAGGCTTAGCGCAAAGACTCCGGTCCCATCCTACAGTGTTCTCGGATAACATGTCGGCATTATATCAGATTCATGACTTCTTCGGCCCTAGTATCGTTGTTTGGATCTTCTCTTTTTAATGGAGGAAACTTTACTGTACTGAATTCATGGGATTAGCTAAGATTGAAGCGGTGGTTTGTATTGCCCGATGGATTTGGTGGAAACCGAAGATATCTCACTCGGACATCCTTAACCCCTTAACTGGGAACTTTTGAACGCATATGTGCGGTGATTCCATTGAGAGATGGCAGGTGCCAGACCACACATATTCGGCGAGTCCATTTAAGGGGTTAAATGAACGTGATGCCGGCCAGCGAGTTTCTCATGCTTTCTAAAGGCACTTTCTCCTCAGAATGAGCCGAGACGATTCGAGGAACTCTGGATAGGCCTTATGTTCCCCAACCGCACTGAAATGGCTCATGAAACTCGAAGAGCTACGTTCGGTCCAACGTTATACGTTCTCTGTTGAATGGGTCATGATAGACTGAATAGGCCTGCGATTCGCCTAACGTTAAAACGTCCTCAACGAGTTGTCTTGAAGACGAGAGATTAATTCTTATAGGTTGGCCCATGCCTGACCGGAAGAAAGTCCGTCGGTTAGACCTAGACCTAATGTTCTGAGTTCCGTTGAGAAAAAAGGGGGGGGGGGTAGTGTGGTTGACGTTGGGCTGAGGTTGAGGTTAGGTTGAGATTGAGGTTGGGTTGAGGTTGGGTTAAGCTTAAAGAAAAGTTTAACTTTTGAAATTGGTTTTCACATTCCTACATAGGACTCAAAAATGAATTGCGTTGCATCATCAAGATGAGTTCGTTTTAGTAAAAAAGCACTTAAATCCTGATCATCATTTTAAAATTGCTGCGTTTTCAGAGTTCTTTGTGATATTTCATTTAAATCGTTGTATAGAGGGGCATAACCTGTAATAGCTCCTGGTTCCAAGTTGACGATTTCATTTCCTCCGAGAAACACCTTCGACAAGACCTCGCTGCGGAATGTCAAGGATCCTTTCTTCAAAATCGGTCCAAGCTGGCAATCAGAAGCATCAAAATCTGCCAAATTCTTCATTCCTTCGACCAGTCCAGCAGGGAGCGCCGTGATGGGGTTGTACCCTACCAGGTAAAAATGGGAAAATGATGGAATAATTTATTTTCTTCATTTGAAAAAAATGCCCGGAAAACAACCGGTGATCTCATACTGCTAATACTATGGTGAAGTGAAGTCACTTATGATTATGTGATAATCTAATCTTTGGGAACTTCGTTCTTCAATGACTTTCCTGAGGAAAATGGCATTCACGCTTCAAAGTATACACACACACATTGAATATTCTTGCATTTGATGTACGATTGTACTCACTGATACTCAGTGTCACCAAGTTGGGAATGGACCATCCGGGCTTCAGTGTTTCAATTCCATTGTCTGAAATATCCAGCATTTCCAGACTAGGACTGTCGAAGGCCGGTACTGCATTCAACATGTTACTTGAGAGGTCCAATGTTTTCAGCTGGGTCAATTGAGGAAGGATGTGAAACGGGAAGTCTTTCAGTGCGCTGGAAAAAATTGACACTTCCTCAAGTCGATCCTTTGAAGAAAGCAATGCTGAGGGATCCACGGTTGCCAAGTCGGTCGAAGAAATGGAGATTTTCTGGAATGTCACGTTTCCAAAAACCCCTTTCGGAAGTTCCGTCACCTTTTCAGTCTTTTCCAAGATGAATTCCCTGAATTTAAGAATAATTAAGACAACACGCCATTATTAGTTCACTTTGCCGAATTATGCTCTTCAATTAAATTCTTTTTTTTTTAGTCAAGAAATTCTTGCTTGAGGATGCGTCTGTCATCATGTTTCAACCCTCTTATTGAGTAAGAATTAAGTACAAGACAGAATTGTTAACTCAGAAATTCTTCATTTTCTAACTATGCGAGGGTTGGTGCATGAAGGAGATACAGATGAAAAGTCATTGATCTCCAATGGCCTCAAGTGCATGAGATGATAACATTGATTGAAACAGATTGATAGAGGCTGTGCTCGAATCACTGCTTCGTAGGTACTTAGGCGAGTCTCCACTAACTCAGCACGTCAACAAAATCCTTGATTCTAAGATGGTAAAGCGGATTAGAAGGGTGTTCGCAAGTCAAATTCAGGCTATGTTTAGTTTCGGAGTTAGGAACTAATCGTTCCGCATCCGGTCTATGGCTTCTAGTTATCGTCGATCCCAGATTCCATGGAAAACTATGAACAAATAGATGCTGAAAGGATGGCCAAAACATGTCCATGCATCTTTCTATGATCACATAATGACCCAACGATTCGTCGGAAGAAGCAGTAATTAGTCCCTTAAAAAAAAAACTGATTTTCCACGCATCCCAGAAATACCAACCTCCTCGCCTTCAGTTTCAAAAATACCGTACGAGTTGACATACTTGGTACTTCGTATAATGCTGTATGAAAACAAAAACCAGTGAGAGCTTTCAAATGCTTGTTCAAATGCAATTCCACGAAATCTTAACAACCCTGCATCAGAGGAATTGTGCTTGAAATAGAAAGGAACTTGTGAGTCGCGTTTCTTTGGTCTGCAATCTGGGTAGGGGACAGTGGGGCACCATGGGTAAAGGCTGTTAATAGCTCTCCTGGCTCTGTTTCTCTTCCTATCGTCTGTTATATTTCTTCCAGCTGAGGTGCGAGGAATGTGCAGTTGAATAGTAGTGCCCAACCAAAGTGCACATTTTATGGACATTTTTCAGTTGATGTCACGTGTTTCGATTTTGTTGGCAGTGGCGTCTCGATTTTTGCTTTTTGATTCCTTTCATGAAAAGCCTTGATTCTTACTGGATTTGGTTTTGAGGAATTGGTAGTTTGACGCCTGCCCGTAGGAACTATTATCTCAAATTACTCTAGATGAAAAATGGACTTAATTTCATTGACTCCCGTTGGGGCACGAAGGGTCAATATATTTATGGCGCAATAGCTCTATGCGCCAAACGTTTCCTGATAGTGGCCAATGCAGAGCAGGATTTCGTTTGCAGTGTTTTACCTATCTAATACCGCGCAATGAGAAGGTCAACTCTGAAGGGTTCAACGCCAGCAGATGTCATTTTCTTGGGCATGAAAAGAATCGCTTATTATTATCCGTTCAATTGTTCCTAAATTTTTTAGATAACTTGGGTGAAGTGCATCATTACCCTAGTGCCTCTCCTATAGTTGCGCAAATACTTCCTTATATGATGACTTTGGGTCAACTGAACTTCAATTTAGCGTTGGGTATGAGAATCACCCATCGTACCCCTGAACTGACTTATGGTGCCCTATTTTTAATACGACTTTATCGCGCGGAACTTGTAGATTGGTAATTTTAAAACATGGGATTGCGCAGTTGAAGTGAGTCTTAATAAGCAGTACCTTCCATTGCTTCAGAGGAATAAAAAAAAATGCTTAAGTTGCTGGCCAAAGAAAAAGCGACCCTGGTACCCCACCCTATAAATTTCGCATGCGTTCTCTAGAAGAATGGGAAAAAGGGAGTCAGGTGCCTAAAGGCTGACTTCAAAATTGCGATCTTGTCGTAGTTCAGAAGTAATTCAGTTCCAGCTCCAGTTCTGAATTCTTCAGTCTGACCAATGTCTGAACTAAAACTACGACATAACTATAACAAAACTGTCGTTAAATAAGCTTATGTTTCGCTGAAGTGATAATAGAAAATGCAACGTCATTACTTCTGAGTGCTTTCGATATTTCCATGAATTTATATCCCAATTTGATCAAGAAAACTCTTTGCTTGAATGATTTCACGAAATCACTCGTCACCCTCATAAAATACCAAAAAAAACTCATTTTCGCACGCCCTGTGACTGAGTCTTCCGATCGTGCTGAAATCCTGAAAATCATTGGAGAACTCGTCAAGATATTTCCTATGAAATGAGTTTGGTGACTCAGTCGGACATACACGTTCCCCTTATTCAATCGATTCCCCCTCATTCTATTGATTATTCAAAATTTAATCGCTGCCATAATTCCTCCTTGAATCATGTCCTAGGCGTTGGGTCTCACCTGCCCCCGGCTTTTCCCCTCTCTCGGTTCCTTTCCGGGGGCTCCCACAGACATTCGGTTTACAATTTACACGTACGAGTACGTCTCTCACTCCCCCGGTTTCACCTTAATCCTCTTTCCTGCCTCTTCTCTCCCTTGCCTTATCCCAACTCCCCACTTCCTTATGTGCTTTCCCTTGCAGCTTCTTCATTAAGACTTTCTTTTCCCCATTCGCATACGGTGAATTTTCGGTCGATCTGCCCTAGGCCGCTGTTACCCTAGCCTGATGCGTGAGGCCTGCAAGGCCATGCTTTTAAAGACCGTTGGCTTGGGAGAAGGACACGGGATACGTACCAGAACGCTTTGGGATGCGATATAAATATTTATTTATGGAATAGTGTGAAAGCGATGGCTTTGCCTTTGTGCGTTCCCTTTTTCCAAAAATAGTATGTGGTATCAAGTGAGTAGTGCGAGAACGACAACCTTTTATAAACCATCATTACATTTCATTCCTTTGATAAAGCATTTGTCTTCAGTTGTTTTATGAAACTATGAACTGCACAGTAACATTATAATGGGGAAAGACATTCAATGGGAGATCAGATGTCGATTAAAATTCGATTAATTTTATTTTTAATTTTTTAAAACGTGATTAATACCTTAACGGTCTCTTGATCTAATAGAAACGTCAACCCTACTAGCACGTAAACAGTGAAAGGATTTAAAATAAATATTCCTGTACCATCCCTAACACCTTCAGAAATCAGATTTGAAATACACCTATTGCAGCAATATGCTGAACTTGAAGAAGAATCTGGTGGGTCCCGTAGTAAAGGTCACCGGTCATAATTTGCGATTGGGATCCCACTGAGTTTCTGAGAATCAAAAACGTAACTTACCCCAACTGGAACTCATCATCTGCCATTCCTATTGTGAACGTTTGGGAATAAAAAGCAAATTTTGCGGTGGGTTCTCACTCTCCCGTCTCTCTGATATCTCCACGGCAACAGGAAAACTAGACTCAATGCGCAAGTGCCGCCGTTCAACCTAGTTCGGGCTTTTGGTCACCGACTAAAACAGCCAGTTCTCTTCAACCCTCGCAGCTGGTGGTTCCACAGGTGACGAATGGACTGTCCACTCAAAGTGGCATGAGCAGTAATGCTGGCTAGACCAGTGAAATGCTGCATCTGGCGTCTTACGCGTTTTACTCTCCTCCGATCTCCACGCGATGCAGTTACGTCAACCTTCGAGGATATTCTCCAGCTTTCCGAAAGGACGTTCGTTTCACAGTTTTTGTTTCGATTTAAAATTAAATGGTTATGATCTGGCAGAGACTGATTACTCTCGTGACATAGTAATGGCAAATCTGTACGTTGGCTGAAACACCATTCGTAACTGTAACACATCATTCCTATATACGTTCCGGTCTCGTCGCCTTTTCAATCTCTCTCATAAATTCCCTGGCAGCTCCGGAATGAAACTTCCCAGAGGAGATTTCGCAATCATTCACTCACGTCTGCTGAGTGTCGGGCCAGACGACTTTGTTGAAGGCGGAAAATATCTCCTTGGAGTTGCTTGCTCCCGAACAATCCACTCCGATATCAGACAGGCATTCGCACGGTGAAATGGCCTCTGGCTCGGGGCAGAGGGACTCGCCTGTCGCCCCGGCGGATACCAGGAGAAAGACGAAGCTCTTTAACCCTAAGATGCCGAAACCTGAAGCCCTGAACGTCTGCATGCTTGCAGCTTCGTGGGCTCTGGGGAAATGCGTCCCAGGTTACTGATAAGGAATGTTATATTCCCCTGCAACCATTGACGTCATCGTTCTGTGAAGCGATGGCAACGGATCGACATGTAACTAGGGTTACCGCCAGACTTAGGTATTAAATTTAACACCTGTGGAATTTCTATGGCAACGTCCCGGGCAGAGACGCGCGAGATCCAGCCCTGCACCGTTACCATGCAACGGGAAATACAGTACAAATATCTCGACTCTACGTGTCCATTCACCTTTCCAGTGAAGGGCAGTTCCAAAGGGAAACCATTTTCTTTTTCAAAGAGAAGACAATTTAAAAATCATCCCTCAAGGACATGCATTGAGAAAATGTGAATTTGAATGCCATCTAAAAAGATTTGTTTACCAGATATGTAAGCCATCCATTGCATATCATTGAACACGTTTACATGTACCAAAATCTCGAAATGCCATGGGCTGAAAGAGTGAAGAAATCAGAGCGATGAAATACTGCTCAAATTGGAGCGAAGCGTACCGATGGCCTGGCACGTAACTCGTGAAGCAAAGTGAAAACCATTACTCGAAGGCTTTCCCCTTCTTCAATCTCAACCTCAACCATGACCGAAAAAGTCCCGTATTTGATATTACTTCGGCACGATATCCGGCAACATTGGGGTTTGAAAACGGGGGTAGCCCGCTAAGCCTAAGTAAACTACTAATTTTTTTGAAGGTGAAACGGTGCATTGCAAGCAACAAAAAGGGCACTCTTGGAAATTACTTGTCAGTATCGTTCTTTGGTACGTGTCTTTCCTTTGAGAGTCGCCCAGGAATAGGCGGATGGAGGAAGAAATACTAGTATGAAATTCACACATTCAAAAAGCGAGATTTAGCGTTCTCCAAAACCCCGCGGAGATGGGGCTTCAAACTTGCTAAAGGAATTGTGTGTTGAGAGAAGAAAACGCATGCCAAATTTCGTTCCTGTCGATGCTCTCAGA